CTTCTTCTCCTCCTCCTCCTCCTTCTTTCCTCTTCTCCTGACTTCCTCTCGCTGTCCCTTTTTTCCCCTCCGTTTAAAATTCCAACATGTTTAACTAGTGCGGGGCTTTCTGACAAATGCCAATTGATATGCATCTCCCCCTCACCTCCCCTCCCCTCCCCTCCCCTCCCTTCCCTTCCCAAACGCCGTAATGCTTGGCTAAGTTCAGCACAAACCTCAACTCATAGGAGAAATATTTTCCTGGTGCTTAACAATCAGCATTGTGTTTAGCAATTAAATTATGCTAAGGGTTTCATTGCGGATAGAGAGAGAGGAGGGAGGGAAAGTTAAGTCAGTAGCACTCTTAAATCATTTTCATTTCACAATAAAAAACAGAACAAAGACTTGCTGGTATTTTTTTAACAACCTTTCCCTCCCTGTTTTTCTTGGGGTTTTTTTCTTCCTCTTTAGTCTCTCTCTTTCTTTTTTCTTTTCCAATTTCACTCTCTATCTCCCTCTAACCCCCCGCCCCCCCTTCTCTCTCACTGTCTCTCTCTCTGTTATCAACAGTTACACTGATGAAGGCCAGCTGTCCATTACAGCCAGTACAGTAAGGGAGTGTTCACACGGCTTCCATAAAGCAGCCATAGAATAGGACAAACCATAGACGTCCAATGAATTTCAATCAGCCCATTTGCACTGCATTAATTCTCCAGGCGATTAACATGGACTTTTAACTACAGTGGCATAAAATATGTGGAAAACCTGCAAGGCAAGATGAATGCTTGTACACATTTCATGTTTCATTGCATGTTGCATTAACTACATTTTTCTAAGGATGTATTTTCTTTGCTTTCTTTTTACCATTAACTATGGTAACCCCAGTCACCATCCTGTCACATCTCACCTTCACACTTAATTAAAGGGAGGTTGAATTTGAACTTCAAGCAGCCCGGTGTGTATTATTGAACAAGTCAATCTCTTCAGAAAAAAACAACATTAGTGTGTTTTTGCCTGTAATCTGAAAAGTCACATTAATGTATAAATAATTATGACATGCAATTATGTTGGAAGAAAGACAAAAGAAAATATCACCATTGCTTCCCTGTTTACTGAAGCCACCAGAATCAGGTTTCATTAGAAAACAGTTTTGGAAAGATACTGTACATAAGTTGTATAAGAGGTCAGGGTACTGTGCATGCTTTGACAGACGTGGACTGTTGAGATTGTTCTTCCATTCATGTTCAACAACATTTTGGTTTCCTGGTACAGTGGTTTCAGTCGTTAACAGAATGTACACAAAGGACTCATTTAAATAGGTTGTGGTCCTCACCTCCTCCACAGTACTGGCAGTTGTGCAATTCTACACCAAATATTAACTAATGAGAGCAGGTTCTGTAGGGAAACATCTTTTCAAAGGGATCTCAGTGGTGTGATAGTTACAAAATATATGAGGCCTCCTGTGGTTGACGTTTTATATACTGCATGCATAGTACGCTCAAGTAGAAATTTTTAAGCATTTTATTGCTCGTTTCAACAGAAAGTAACTGGCATGTGTCAGGCAATATTTGCCTGGGTTTTTAATCCTTTCACTTGCTCTGTAATTCTTGCAGATTACCAGAGCATTTGTGGCGCTGATAAACAAGCAGTTGCTTGTTCAACCATTCACTCAATTTGTACTTTCTTCCAGATAACAGCGAAATGCTGTGAGCTCAGATGTTAGTGTGATGTAGAAAACCTTGAGAAGCTCAAGGTTGATAGTGCTGAGCGGCTATTGTGCTGGTGTTGAGCTGTGCTGCTCCTGGCTGTGCTCCAGCAGTACACAGCCTTTTTAGAGGCCACTTTACAGTGCGTCTCCATTTCCCTCAGTTTATCACTGTCACACGCACGCACATACACACACACTGAACACACTACTCAACTACTCACCCTGCTGGGTGCTCCCTCTGGGATGGGGCGGAGAAAGGTAAGGAAAGAGAACAGAGTAGAGAAAAAAGAGAGTGAGAGAGAGAAGTAAAGGGGAAAAGAGAGAAAGTTTGACGTCAGTCCTGATAATAATAACAACAGTCCCCCAGTCAGCCAAGGTTAGGCTGAACTACGACGGCTCCTCTCTAATAAAGATACAGACCCGCTATTGTGCCTGTTCCAGCCTCCTCTCTATCTTTCCCTCTCTCTGTTCTCCAACCAGACAAAGCTTGCTGTCTTCCCCCGCTGCCTCTTTCAACGCTGACTATCTTTTCAGTCATTCTTCCTCTCGTATGTAAGAACAGAAACACACACAGCTGCAGACATGCATAAGCTCTCACACAGATGCTTAACACGCCAATATGAACACATTGATCTCTCTATCTCTCTCCCTTTCTACTATTGCTCATTTCTTCTTTTTTTTCTCTCTTTCTAGCTCTCAGTTTATTCATGAGAAAGTCTCTCTTGGCTTTGTGCCTGAAACAGAGCGCAAAGATAAGATATTCTATCGGGGTGAATGAAAGTTCGTTGGGAGAAAGCATTTCTCCTGCATTTACTCAAGTGCCTTGAATACGTCTGTCCATATTATGACAGAAATCTAAACAAGTAAGTTCAAATTCAGTCCAAAAGGTGACTTGCTGTACAAATTACACAAAAGTTGCCTGCCACAAATGATGTATAGTGCTGCTCTGCATATTATCTGGTCTAAAATGATAAAATGATCTACTTCTTATTCTGTAGGGGTTGCCAGGGTTTCTCTCACTGCTGCTTTTTGTCTATCCTAGTATAAATAACATCACATGAAAATAAACAAATGCTCACATGTACATGCAGAAATACAATTATTTTCTGAAGAAAACAATAATTCTTGCATGCAGGATATGTGATGGTTTCATTCTAGATGAGTTACCGGACTCTGTTACTCTACCTCACTTGTATTGCACTTCATCTCATCATCTCAAAATGTTCAATAGTGTAATTGACTTTCAATAATGAAACATTTTGTGTACACTGATCTGAAACTAAAGCAGGTACACTACCGATATATTTTAGGGCTATAAGGGCAAAAGCTTCTGCATTCAATAACTTTGGGTCTTTAAATTGCGGCTCTGTTGTCTTCTACAGTAGGCTGTCACTGACTATAAGTCGCACAATCTATCGTATGTTTAGAGGCACCGTTTTATCGATGCATTATTTGTTGTCATAAATGGGCTAGAGTGAATTAATATCTTACACTTTGTCGCTCCAGCTAAATTTGGCTCTTGAAGATCACTTTTGATTTAATACAAAATTAAGGATGATAAGTCTAAGGTTCTTTACCTCTGAGATGTTCAGGGTCAAGGTGGTTGCGCTCATCCTTGGAGGCAAGGTGGGCTGAGACCCCCAGGGCCCCGGTCAGCGCAAGAAGCCCTGAGCCGCCCGCACCCAGGGACAGCCCTGATGGGTGTGGCGTCAGGGGGATGCCAGGGGCGTGGTGAGACAGGTGCTGGAGCTGCTGCTGCTGTGGCCACAGGGAAAGGAGGGAGCGGGGAGCAAGGGGGTGGAGAGGGATGGTGTCATACAAGGGGGTGGATTGTTAGAAAAAACAGGGAAAAGAAGAAATAGATAGAAAATAAGCAAGTGACACAGGACAAAGGGGAAGGAAGAAGGAAAAAGTTAGAGGAAATGGGGGTTGAGCTTGGAAAAGGGGAGTCGAGAGAGGTAGAGAAAGGAAGGAGGTTAAATGAAATCAAATCCACATGGACAGCTCAGCAGCGAGAGAGGAAAATAAGATGAAGGAAGTTAGGATGTTAAAGAGAAAGATGGACACCAAGGACGGGAAAGAGGAAAAAGAAAGAAGGGGAGAAGGAAATTAAATGATCAGGATACACAGGGATAGTAAAGTAAGTGGAAATGGAAACCAAGAGGAGAAAGAAAGAAGGCGAGACGGTGAAAAAGGGGAGAGCGATGAATGGGATTTATTATAAAGGAAAGGCACAAGGAGGAAGATGGAGAAAGAGGCCAAGGGAAAACACAGAGAGGGTAAAAGAGAGGGAAGAAAATGTTTGAGTCAGAGAGTAAATGATGGGGAGGAACAGAGGGAAATCAGGGTGGAAGCAGTGAAAAGTGTATTAGATGAGCAGGAGGGAGAAGATAGGTAGAGAGCGTAAATGAGCACAGGAAGAGGGAGGGAAAGTGTGCAGCCGAGAGAGCAAAAGATAAGACATAGCGAAAAGAAAAAAAAAACAATAGGAGAGGAGAAATGAGGACAGGGCCATAGTAAGAGGAAGAGAATGATAAAAGATTACAAAAGGAGAGATGATTCTGGAAGAAATCCAGAAGGAAAATGAACAGAAAGACAAAGAGAAAGCAGAAAAAGAGGATGATGTGGGACAGAGAGAGCAGAGAGCAAAGGAGCAGCTACTGATAAAGAAAGGCTACAGTTTTATCCTCAAGGGAGCATTATGATGTGTTTTTGTGTGTTGTTTTACCAAGCCAGTGTGTTTCGACACACATACACTCACACAAGCACACACCTTAGAGACATCAGTGTTTGTAGTGCTGTGAGGAACAAAGGGCTTTAAGTAGACAGTAATGTGATCAGTGCTCAGACAAGCTTTGGAAAGCCCCGTATACAGGGGCACTCAGAGGCATCACCGTGTGTCTCTGTGGCATGTGTATACCATGTTGCTCTTGGTCAGGTGGTCATACGCTATTAATTACGTGTGTGTGTAGCTGCATAAAAAGTTTTCAGCATAACTCTACAGTTACAGTCTGTATGTTAGCATCAACCTAATTTAAATTTAAACTGACTGTTGACCAGAGAGCACTGATTAACACAGAAAGTGTTTGAAGCAGAAATCAGAGGTGTAATTAATGCAGCATACACCATACTGTTGTGTGCTTTTTTTGGTTTTTCAGATTTTTGGGGGGGATTTTATTGCCTTTATTAGATAGTA